CTTTATTATGGTATAGTATTTAAATGTATGTCTGAGAAACACATAATATTGGCCCTTTAAATTTTTCTTCCTAAGTGTCTTCAGCAGCTGGCTTTTACTTAGCTTTGTTTGCTACAGTCCAAATAAAACCCTGGTAAAAAATAAATCTGTGGTGTGATGCATTCAGGGACGGTTTCGTATATCGGTTGAGAAGAGTTACGTTTATAATAACAGCTGCTCTGAACGTAGCGCTAAAACGTTTAACTGGTAGCTCCAGAACTTAAATCTGTACACTTTGAGACACTTATTTTCAAATTATTTTCCTTTTGCATTTTCTTTTACTTCCCTCTCGCATTCACAAACTTTCACATGAACTCAAAATTCTTCTTTCTTTTCGCCGCTATAAACTAAAAGACCCTGAACTCACTTCATAAAGAGCCCTTTTTCTAACTACCTCATCTATTTTCCACCAAATTAACTCTCTCTCAGCCCTGATTAATGATCAAATCTAAATGAATCAAATTAAAAATTGAAAATTATATTTCCAAAGCCCACAAAAGAAGAGACAGGAGGAAAGTAGTGGGAGAGTGAGTGTGTTACCTCCTCTTAACAAATGAGCCTTCAAACCATAAAGAATGGCCATGAGAGGAGGAACGAAAAGGAAGGGGGTGGGGGGGTTGGAAAGAAGGGCACTGGGGAGTGACTGCAAGGATCAGAAAAACTGAATTATGTTCGAGAAAGAAGAAAAGGCAGGAGAAGACTGAACTGAAGTAGAATCAGGAAAAAATGCACAAAATTATGATAATAAAAATGTTTAAGGATGTTTAAAGGATTGAGGAAAGACCACACGGAACAGAAAAGGGGCGAGAGGTGTGATAAAATCGGCAAATCCTAATTATAAATGACCAACATAACAAAACAAAACAGAGAAAATGCTTAGATGGGACAAAGAAAAGAGTTATAAACTAATAAAGAAAAATATTATTTTTCTTTTACACATGCAAACTTATAAATACTAAGACAGCATTTCTGGTGCACCTGAAACCACATTATACATTTTGTGATGTGCTTTAGCCGTGTTGTGCTACTTCGGTCCTGTGCTGCACACAGTTATGCATGAACTGAAAAGCGCCCGTACAAACCTTGTGACAGTGATGAAGGTGAATCATTTCTATCGTGGGAATATTCCTGTCTGTCAATAGCGCGATCTGCACTGATCACATCAGGATAGATTTTTACACTGCGCCGGCGTCACTCTGTGTCAGCGTGAGTGTGTGCGTGTTCTTCAACAGATGAGGGATTGCAAGTGAAATGCCTTTGACACCCGAGTGCACATGCAGGAGAAAGACAGAGGGGAGAGGAAAAGATAGAAGAGGATGGACGGAAAAAGCGAACACAGATTGATCTCAGATGGTCAATGAAATGAGAGACTGAGGGGATATCAAGAGCGGCGAGAGCTGTAGGAAGGAACGCGGAGAGGGAACAAAACATATTTATGGAAATTGCTTGATCACAGTCGAGGAGAAATGTGGATGGATGAAAAATATAATAAGAGGAAAACATTTAAAAAGTCAGTCCCATAAATTTTGTGGGAGAGATGATTTTATTTATTTTTTTTACTCGCCTTAAACCATTTTACACACAGCAACATGTTTGAGTTGGGAATTTGTGTGTAGTGTTGATGTAATAACATTAAAGGTTTTCCTGTGCGGGTTTATGGACTGATGGGTGAGTGGATTGGGCGAGACAACAGTCCCATTTAAATCCATTGTGAGTGTGTGTGTGTGTGTTATTTGTTTTACTCATGAGTGAGGACCTAAATCTGCTGACACATTAACACCGCAAGAACTGGAATCCTAGGCTTTTCTTTGAAAGAAGCTGCAAACGGTAAGCCCTTACAAATGAGAGAAAAAAAACTGTTGTAGTTAGGGTGAATTGCTATACACAGAAAAATAAACAAAAAAATAAATAAAGATAACCAACTTGAGAGCTGACGTCTTCTAAAGTGCATAAATTATAAATTTGCATGTAAATAAATGAAATGCCAGCACTAAAGGGTTAAACTGAAGAAGACAGAAAAGCTGTAGAGAGCGTGTGTGTAGTGTCATGCAGTGATGTTTGTTTAGACCAGAACAGATCTGAACAGCAGTGCCTAAGGCAGTGGGCAGGTGGTTGTCACTGGAGTGTGAATCTGTGACTGTGGGTGTGGGATTGAGTTAAAAAAGTGCCCCGTCCCCCAGCTTATAAGGTAGCATTACCAAAGAGCACGCTAAAGCGCCACTGTAACAATTTCCAGAAATATTCAAAATAACTGAGATGAGAATGCATCTGTGCTTCCAGAGATGTAATAAAACAT